CAATACTACATACTACTAACATGCCACAGACTAATAAAATGCTCCACGGGTTTCATTAAAGTACCTCACCAATCTATATAGACTAAAGTCAGCTGGATGTTGAAAAACTCTGATATTAGTTATATAGGGGTTAGATCAACTTTTCAGCCAATTTTAATAATTTTAGGCACAAAGATACACAGTTATTAGGGAAATATGGTCTCTCATTTTTATTGAGATAACTAACATATTGGCCTATATATGCGATATAAAGTCCCACGGATGTTCGACGTTCTGTATATTAGGTATATGGAGACTAAGAGAAGTATTGACCCCATCCAATCCATTTTTGACATTCAGACATATTATTATCAAGAGGGGATCCTCACTGAATTTCAATTATATACCTCACATATTGACCGTTATTTTTGGTAAAAAGTCAACTTTAGGTACTTAGGTCCACATATTCGGTACCTTGAACAGTTTTGGTTCGATTTTGAGAATTTTTGGTCATAAGGTACACTTGAAAGGCACTGTTCGTCCAACGTGTTATCCCGTTATACTAATTTCAGGCTTATTTGTATAATGGAAAGTTAAAGAATCAGTTGGAATTTACAATTGTGTTATATGGCAATTAGGCGTTGTTGTAGTTCGATTTCCTTCATTTTTACTTATTATCACACTGTCGTAAGAAGGCTTGATAACATTTGTCATGTTTGGTGACCTAGCTTTATTGGTTTGAAAGATATATACATTAAACTAATTAGGAAGCGGGGCCATGCCCACTTTTTAAAGATTTTCAAACCACAGGTGCCCTTCCTTAATATAATTCGATGTGCCAAACTTTACTGCTGTATCTTAATTTAAAGTTTTGTGGGCGTGACAGTAAACCAATTACGCTCATCTACAAACTCGTCCTTACTTTTTTGCCAAGAAAGATGTTATCGAGTTTCATCAAGATATCTTAACTTCTACTTAAGTTACAGCTTGCACGGACAACCGGGTAACCGGATTTCAACTCGTCTCGTCATCCTGATCATTTATATATGACTCGATATCTAACGCGACTATTTTTAGGTATTAAAAACAAACGTTAACTTCGGTTGCACCGAAAACATTATACCCTTCATCAATACAACACATACATACATATTTTGCGTGAACTTGATTCCAATTGTTCAGTGTGTGGCAGCTATATGCTATAGTGGTTCGACATCGGCGGCTCCGAAAAATGAGCAGCTTCTTAGGGGAAAAGAACGTGTGTCTTTCGATTTTGCTTATTTTCACTGTCAATATTAAGTTCCATACTCGTATACCTATATTAAAAGCAAGCAGCCGGAAAGTAAAATAACTGAATAATCGGTTGTATGGGAGATATGTAATAAAGTTGTGCGATCTGGCCGATTCCGACAAATGATCAATAGAATCTTAAAATGAGCGTATGTATTAAATTTCATTCGGATAACTCAAAAACTGAAGGAAAAATCCCGAAAAAAAACTTCATTTAAAAAATCGCTGGCTCGATGTTCTCTGTAAATCAATCTGCTATAATATACATATACATTACATATTTAATTTGTTCCTGATACTCGAACTTAAAACAATTCCATTTGCTTATTTCTTTTATCGCACATCCCTTCTACCTGCTTACTACAGTTTTGAGCAATCATTCCTGTCAAAACGCCACTCGCCAAAATGAATATTCATTCGTTTGATTTGTGTTATTAACATTTATGCAATATAACTGACAGTGCTTGAACAGCTGCCATTCAAATCTGTATCGAGATGTTTACTGTTGCATGCATTATTCCAAGCAAGCCGATTTTAGCGCGCTTAACTACGCGAATTCCATTCTCTTTTGAAATAGAGGCAAGTTCAAGTGAACAAGTGTCAAACGGGAGTGAAAGGTAGTAAACTTGTGTGGAGACACACTATAAATATTGCCAGAAAGAAGAAAGCGAAATTTGGAATATAAGTTTATATCATGATAAGCATGATCCCAAGTTTAAGATATTGGCCAATTTTAGTACTTGTTCATTAAAGCAAAAATTCTGTATTTATGACATTGCAATGTCTAAGCCAAGCGTCCTTTAAGAAAATTGATAAAATTTTCCAAAACTATCATTAAATTTTTCATTACACATTTTTTTGAGAGTACTTTTGAAAGCGATTTAGGCTATTTGTTTATATATCTAGTTTGCACTTCTTTTGTAAGGCAAGAAACTCGGCTTATAAGAAACGGCAACAAAAGATTTCTGCATAACTACAATGAGAATCAAAAACTCCAATAGTGTTTTTGGGCGCCAGAGATAGGAGTAAACTTAATATTAATGATGCCTTAAATGGTATTAGATTTTTCAAAGAAAACCTTTTTGCAAATAAATTCCTTATATTTTCCATAAGTTCTGAGAATTTATTCTTTTTGTAGACGTTTTTTAAAAGTTCCTTTAAATGTATACTTTTTTTTCAAATTTAAGATTTACGACAGACTATTGCGGGTATAATAATTTTCCGGTCACTTTGTTGCCAACTCAAAAACCAGTCAACAAACTCTGCGCAAAAATGTACCAGCAGTTTGAATGATTTAAGACATTTTAACATTTACTTAGCGAAATTTTTGACTGTAGCCATAAAATCAGCTGGCCAGCTCCACTTAAGTAATTTATAGCCTATTGGTAGTGGCATCTTATACATAAAACGTAAAGGGGTCCCCGTTTATGTTTATGTTTGACTGAATTCCAACTACAAAGCATATAAACATTCAATTGTGCTACATTGAAAATGCTTTATTAGCAGCGTTCAATGCGAAAGGCAATTTTTGTATGAGCGCATAAGAGTGTGCTTCTTTTTATAGCGCTTTTATTAGCTTCGCTTGTAATTTTGTATGTTTGTCACTTTTTTCTGTGCAAGCGATAACTTGGGTATAAATTGAGACATCGTATTGAAACTTGCTACATATGTTCCTAGGAACCCAAAAAAGGTCAATACTACAGATGGGCGTAATCGGAGCACTGTCCCACAACTTGTATTATTGTGAGAAGGGCGTGCAATGGCGTGTGCCATATTTTTCGTATATCGAGCACATCATACTTTTCTCACAATAATAGTAATATTTTGCGGTCAATATTTCGGTCAGTTTATATAAGAAATTATATTTCACTTTTTAGTTTGAAGTGATACTAAGTGATGAAAGCAATAAATCGAAGCTTTAAACGACTTTTAAAACTCATTCGTATGTACATATATATTCAAAGCATATGCGTGTGTTGGTTGATACTATCTATCTCTTGAACTCACAATTAAACTCAAATATTCCTTCTTAATATATTATTTTAGCGAAATCCTCATTTTTTACCCAGTTACTCATTTTCATGAGTAAACCTGGAAACTTTTGCGCTTGTGGACAAGTTACTCACTAGACCTCTCTCCCAACTTGGCACTCTGAGAGAAATATTTGCTTTGAGGTGCTTTTCGAGTTTTGAGGTACACAGCTCAGTGTAACCCACTCATGATGATAGTAGACAAGACTGACCTACACTAAGCTAATTTACTTTAACATAGGTACTTTAATGAGTAGGTTTCGCGTATAAAAATCAACAGAGGTTTAGCAGAACCGACATGTATAAAACGTTTCTTGTTTCATACAAATTTTTAAAAACTTATTTACTGGAATAAGCGATGGTCTTCAAACTTTACTGTAGTTTATCGGATTCAAGAATATATTCAATACAATAGCTTTGCCATCACTTTAACAATAGATGCAGGTTTCTTCTACCACTGCAAGATATGAAACAGCAAGTAGAAGAACTCAAATTTTATGCGCTTAAAAGATGAGCATTGCTGGTTTTGGGAACTGCAAGTTATACTGATGATTTTACTTTGCAACGGGTATAACTTTGTTAATACAAACCCCTAAAAAATTATATTGATTTTATACCAAAATATGCAAAACTACCTGTTGAGCCTTTTAATATATAAATACCAGGCTTAAGTTAAACATTTCCACCTGTTGAGCAATACTAATGTTAAGAAAGAGCAATGTAGTCAAGCATTTATGCACATATGTATACATACCTATACCTGTATATTTCTTATACTTCCATTTTTAAACACACTTCGAAATTGCTCTCCATACTCTTAACACTCACGCTCTTCATCTTCTAGATTTAAACATTTTTCGAATTTACAAAATCGTTTCAAGTTTATATTCACTTATGTTAAAAATCTCTGTTTGTTAATGCTTTTAACATTCAATATATAAGCATATTTCAAATTTACTCTTTACACATTTATTTATTGCTAGTAACATTTACTCTAATACAAAATCAGTTTAAGTTTAACTCACTCCTGTAAAAAGTCTCTACAAACTCTCTGCAAGCTCATGCTGTTAACGTTGAAAATTTAGCTGTCTTAAAGCTGTCTTCTGTTAAAAATCTCTACCAACTCTCTGCGCGCTCATGCTGCTAACCTTCAAAATTTAGCCATCTTTCGAAATTACTCCCTATATAATTATATATTTCGAGTAATATTTACTCTTATACATAATTGGTTTGGGTTTAATTCAATTATGTTAAAAAATCTCCACAAACTCTCTGCAAGTTCATGTTTATGTTGTTAACCTTAAAATTTTGAAACGTTTGAAATTACTTTCCATTTATTTAGTTGTTGCTAGTAAGCTTTACTCTTAAATAAAATCGGTTTAAGTTTAACTAACTTCTGTTGATAATCTCCGCTTGCTCATGGTCCAAGCTTACAATATTTAAGCATTTCTTGAACTTAATCTTAATAAATTTCTTTAATGCTGTAACCTTTACTTTAATACAACATCGGTCTTAGTTTTTACTTACTTATGTTAAAAATCTCTTCAAATGGTCTTCCCGCTCATGCTGTTAACTTTTAATTTTAAGCGTTTCCAAATTACTCTCCATTTATTTATCGCTAGCAGCCTTTATCCTTATACAAAATTGGCTTAAGTTTGTACTCAGTTCGGTTAGAATTTCTGTGCCCTCTCAATTTTTTCGAACACATTCTATAATCTTAAACAGTAATACTCACTGTACTGACCAGTAACACCCCAGGTAATAAAAATATCATTGTTCTAAATAAATGAATCCGACGAGAAGGTGAAAACGCGTCGGTTTACAAAGCATCGACTTCGTGATTTGTAAACGCTTTTTCGACAAATTTCATTCGCCGTTGGTTGGCTACCGAAACAACATTTCTCCTGCACACATAAACATACACAGTTGTAAATACAGTCGAGACTTCGTACGCTCAAATTGATGCTTCGTTTATGACTTTCGAAGTTTCGTTCAGCGGCGCTGTCACTAGAAACATCCGTACTTCGTTGTTTAATGTAGTTACTTGGCCGATGGGAGGACTTCGCCAATGCAATTTGCTCCTATCATCAGTGTGTGTCGTTTACAATTTAGTTTAGTTTTACTTTGGTCTTGGTCGTTAACGGTTGTATAGCGGTGCTGAATATTTCGCCGAACGCGCGCTTAACTTGGTGTTAGTGTACATACCATATATGTAGCATATATATATGGCTATTATTGAGAATACCATATATGCACAAAACCGGTAAAAATACCGTATTTCAAAGTTGAAGGTGGAAATATCTTTGTGGTGGAGTATAAAGTTGAATTCCATAGTATTGCACGAATATGCTTGAGCAGCTTGTATTGCAATCGTGTTAGTTTGTTATTGTTATTGTAAGTTATGTGACGAAAGAAAGTAATAAATTTATTCGTGATGTTATTTTTGAGCAAAATGTGTAGTGTTACAAAATGAAATGATAATCTGCAAAGAATTCAAAACAATTTCTAAAGGTATGTAATATAAAAGTGAATGAAAAAATGTAAAGTGAAGCTGAATTAATAAATTTATATTAAGTAAATTAGTAATTAAAAAAAATTAAAATTTAAAAATGTTATGAAAAGCAAAATTAAAGAAGTTAAAAAAAATATATATAATAAAATATTAAAAAAAAATAAAACAAAATATAATAAAAAAAAGAAAACACAAAATAATTAAATAAAAAACTATAAATTATTTATAATTAATTAAACTTGAAAAATTATAAAATATGAGCTTATTAAAATGAAAAATAACATTAAATAATATAAAATTATATAAAAATAAGTAGTTTAAATAAACTAAAATAAAGTTGAAGGAAATTAAATAAAATTTAAAAATATTAAATAAATTTAAATAAAACAAAACAATTTAATTAAGTTAATCACACATTAAAAATTAATAAAATAAATCTAAAAAAATTATATAAAACAAAATCACTTTTAACTAGAGAAAATACAATATATAGTGAGGGATTAGTCGCTAGAAATTCGCCTAGCGGTAAATTCAAAATTCAAATTTACATATCATAGTTTTTACAGATATATGGTTAGTGCGAAATTCGTCAGCAATGATGACACACGTTCGCGAATTAGTTTTGCGCAAACACGTTAAAAATCCAAGTATGTCTTATAGCGACATCGTTAAAAACCTAAAAATACCAAAATCGTCAGTGACATTTATACTTAAAAGATATATTGACTCTTTATCTCTGAAAAAAGGGCTGGTAGTGCAAGAATACAGGGATTTGAATTCGATTACAGCAAACAAAGTATTGAGCTATTAAGAACGAGATCCTTAACTATCGGTTCAAGATATCGCCAAAAAAAGTGCAGAAAGTACAAAAAAGAAAGGATTACCCAAAATAAAATATCTTGTTTGGCAAGCTCTTTGCCAGTGCGGCTTTAAAAGTTAACCATTTATTGGCTATGGATAAATAAATAAAGAAATTTATATTATGTGTTTACAGGAGCACTTTTTGTCTTTAGTTAAGCTTCATGAGGGCCCACTGTATGCTTTTTGCCTGATCTGATATGTTATTAGAGGAAAATTGCTTTAAAGTCGTACCAAACAATAGAGTGGCGGTTGTTCCTAAAGAGCTCAAACCAATTGAGACTTATTATTAAAGAAAAACTTATTATTTAAGAAAAAATAATTAAAGATCCAATAAGCTGTAAAAGTTTAAACACACTTAAAAATTATTGGCGAATTAACGGTAAACAAGCATATCAGTAAAGATTCTGTGCATGAGCTTGTGAGGAATGTTAAGCTCAACTTGCGATTATTCGCCTTTAACAAAACAAAAAACCTAAATGTTAACTATAACTTATATAAATATTTTTGAAATTGAATAATAAATACATGTAAGTTTTATAATGTTATTGGTATAAATATAAAAACTTACTAGACAAAATTAATACTTTTATATAAAAAAGTTGAACAATTAAATATATTGCAAGTACAATGAAATAACCGTTGTTGAATTAATTTATGGAACACAACAAATACAAAGCAAACCTGAGCTAGAAAATAAATTTTCAATCATAAATTGAATAAAAACATTTACGTTAAATTTTACAAGCAATAAAATAATACATAATAACTTATATTTTTATAAGAACAACAAATATGTATTTAATTTCAATTTGTTAATCAAGACAATGCATAACATAGCATGCCGTAACAGAACATAACATAACAATACTAAGCATAAAATCTCAAAACTAAAAATATTATAATTAATTTAGTTATAAAATTATATACAAATATAAAACAGAGCTGGTTAAAAAACGACAATTAAATCAATAACAGCTAGCTAGCTAAAAATGATTATTAAAAAGTCAAAAATTGTTTGCGCTATCAAATGTTATTAGTTTCAAATAACAAACATAGCATAATAAAATGCAATTTATTAAACTGGTGACAATTGCTTAATATAGTATGACTTTACAACTACAAAAAAAATATATTTAAATTGCCAATATAGAATTTTATTTATAGGTGTGAACATAAAAAATGTGCGAATATCATAAATATACTTTCACAAAAGACATGAAAAATGCTCCCGAAAAAACGATCTATTTATTATATAAAAAAAACGTATTGTGATTATTAAAATCATCCGCTCGACAAATCTGAAACAAATAATTAAAATTTAATGAACCTACTTCAAAGGAAATTGTGTTGTGAAATTAAATATAATAGATGCGCGTAACTCTGCGCTAATTCCGCCGCATACTCGTAAGCACCTGAGTACGCACCGAGTGTTTTGTTATTTTGTGTTCATTAAATCTAATTAGTTTCATTAATACTATAATTAAAATAACGATTTTTTGCACGTAAAGACTTGCAAGAAGAAGCACACACAAAAATAAAAGAAGTAGATTGTGTAGGCATGGCAGGACTAAGGTGCATAAAAATACAACGCTCAACAACAAATAGTGTATTGGAAGATTGTGCTTTAGCAGAGTTGATTTAATAGTGCAGTGTTTCTATGCGCCAGATTAGACCATAGCAATCGCGTGTACGCCATGGCGTATACTTAACCAAGTTCATTTGTCTGCTTTATCGTAAAATTCTGCTAGCTAGCGCGCTATTCTGTAACGGATGCAACTGCGAAATTTCAATGTTGAAGTTAAGTGTAAAATTGCAGTGAGTGAAATCACACGGGATGTGTCTAAGGATATCCCATTCCAGCATATGGTGATCTTTTGCGCTCTCTGCACTTTTGTACACATTAAATATATATGTTATCAAGCGTTTTAATGCAAGAAAGCAGCATAGCGTCCGCCTCCTCTTGGTTTATTTGGCTTGCTCAGTATTTTGACCAGCGTTGCTATTAGCTCATTAAACGTATTTGCGTTGCAAATTTACGCACTTAGCAGTTCCTGACTGCAGGCTATAGTTGTTGGAGTTTGGTACTACTTTTAGTTGTTGAGTTGTTCATTTCCTTGCGTTCGCCTGTTGCTCGCTATTAGCCTTGTTTTGCATGATCATGTTATGGATCGTGTTATGTGCCGATAGCCAGTGGCATTGCAGACCAGCTGTTTAGGTCATATAATATATATCTGCGCACGAGTTTCCACTGCTTTCATTAAAATGCATCATACACTTAATATCCATTTTAGGTAGCAACTCATCTGCGCGTTTATAAGTTGTGTACTCTGGTACTGTAATCACTGTTAAAGTTGTTGCTTGTATGTCTTACAAATATGCCACAGAAGAAGTTTCTTTGAGATAAGCTAAAGCACTATCCCTTACTTTGTATACTGGCAATATAAACTCAATGCCGTACAGTGTTTGAAAGATCAGCGTAATGGAACTTCATTATCATAAATATTTAATATATTCATCAATTTAGCCAATAATTTACACTCAGTTTTCTAAAATTTGGGTTATGATTTCTAGTTTTACCTTCTCTGTAGCCTGTTTGGTATTTCCATTAAATATTTTAACTATTATTGATGTTCTCCGTAAGCAAGTTCATGAATCAAATTTTTCTCAAAAATGCAAACCAAATATTGACTGCAAACTCAACGTGTTTGTGCACCTAACAAAATTAGTCTTTATTTTTATATTTGCATTGGGGTACGTCGATGTGTGATCCTTTTAAAAATTCATCAAAAAAGTTTTCCATTCAAGCACTTGATTCCGATCGTTCACCTGTTGAGGGTATAAAGAAATCTACGTTGAATGTCATAAACATATCAAACTATTATTTTACATAAATAACCGCTAGGAAACTAAAGCACAAAAACTTCCTTTAGCTCCAGCGCTCGCCTTTCGTGTTACAAATCTCAATGGAAAATGGTGTCAAGCAAATAACGAGCTGACTGTCAGTGTCGATTTTGCTCAGCACCCCAAAAGTGTTGAATTATATTGACGCGTAGTCTGCACAAATGCGTGGCGAGACTTGGGAATTAGCCGCTAGCGAAATATGAAAATCTGTGCATGCATAGTTGTTGTCTCCTACTACAAAAATTGCCTCAGAGTTCCAAAACTTTAATTGACGCTGATGGAGTCATTAATTGATTAAAAAATAAGTTGCAATGCATGAGATTTTTTTTTTTTTCAACTGGGTAAAACAAGAAAACAGATTCCAGATAAGCATAATATCGAGAATATACGTCACTTAATGAGACATTAACACTAAATAATTATTAACGCAAATTTAATGTTTGCGATAATTAAAATTTTTTCTAAAATAATTTTATATATACTAGATCAAAATTATCTTTCCTCAAGTTGGTCGTCAGAGTAGGTGCGAAGTTACAAGTCATTCTGTCAATGAATTCTTTGTTTACAAGCCATTTGAAGTTGACGTGTCAGAGTATTTTTTTAATATAAAAAAATTAATATCGCGCAGTGATTAGATTCTTTGTTTTGAAAGGTTTAAAAACAACTGAACTTTATGAACAATTGTTAGAAGTGTTTAAGGAGTCCTAAACTTCAGAACGCAACGTCGAATTTTGGGCTGAAGACGATCCACGCGAAAGACGACCCAAAACCGCAAGTTCATAATATTAATAGTGAAGATCCAAGTTTGAATAAGCCTGAAATTGCTAATGCCATAGGCATCTCAGATGAAGGGGTACTTCATATTTTACATGTTTGGAAAGTTAATGCCGCACACGTTAATAATTCAACAAAAACTGGATCGAAAACAAATTTCTCAGCATAATTCGGAGCGTTTAAGGCAGAATAAAACCGATTTCTTGCGTTGTTTTTTAAATATGGATGAGACTTGGATCTACCACCATGATCCTAAATTGAAACAAGAACGTTTACAGTGGACTGGTTGTTCGGCTCCAAAGCAGGTGAAGTCACAACGATCAGCAAAGAAGGTTATGGTAATCATTTTTCATCAAGACAATGCACCTGCTCGAAAAGGCGTTTTAACAATGGTAAAATTCAAGGAATTAAACTACGAGTTGTTTGAGCATCAACCGTATTTCCCACATTTGGCCCCCTCTTC